CAGTGGCTGCCAGGCTGCTGGTTGTCACCTAGAATGCAGGCTGTTAGTTTTAAAGAATATCCCAAAGCAGCCCGGCCAGCATGGCTCAGTGCTTGATTGCTGACCTATGAACCAGGAGGTCACGGTTCGATTCCCGGCCAGGGCACATGCCTGGGTTGCAGGCTCGAACCCCATTGTGGGGCATGCAGGAGGCCCCACATCTCTCATCATTGATGTTTCTATCTCTCTCTCTTTCCTCTCTGAAATATATATATATATATTTCCTTCCTTCCTTCTTTCCTTCCTTCCTTCCTTCCTTCCTTCCTTCCTTCCTTCCTTCCTTCTCTCATTTTTTAAATTAACACTTCTCAATTGTTGCTAGCCTGTGGGTAATTTCCAGAGTTCTGAAAAAGCTGATTCTGATTGTTTTGCCAGTTTCTTGTTGCTTTTGTGGAGGAAAGATTTTTTTGAGGTCCTTACTTTGCTATTTTCACTAATGTCACCTCGATAGGGAGTTTGAATAGGCATACTTCATGCATCTGGAAACCACTCGGCCCAAATAGCATGGTGCTTTTTATTTTTAAATATTTTTATTGATTTCAGAGGGGAAGGGAGAGGGAAAGAGAGATAAAAACATCAATGATGAGAGAGAATCATTGATCAGCTTGCCTCCTGCATGCCCCACACTGAAGACCAAGCATGTGCCCTTGACCAGAATCGAACCTGGGACCCTTCAGTCTGCAAGCTAATGCTCTATCCACTGAGACAAACCTCCTAGGGCAGCATGGTATTCTTTAAAAAAATTAGGCTTATGAAATTTAAGAAGAGGAATAGAGCCTACCTAACAGTTAAACTCCTGTGGAAAATGTACATTGTTCTACCACTTCCTTCTCCTTCCTAAACTTGCTTTAAGTCTGGAGACTATAAAAATGAATGAATGAATGAACAAATGAATGCATGGGCCAATAAATCAACTGCATTTGTGGCTCACTAAAACGTCCAGTACAGGGATTTACAGAGAAAGGGCACTCAAGGAATGGTGCTGAATCAAAATAGATTGGCTCAAAATAGGCAAAAATTTTCTCTTCTCTATTATATCTTATCCTGCTCATAACATTAAATCTCCAGTTTTATATTTATCCCATATAAATTTGTATAATCTTTTATCATGAATGCTTCGCACTTAACACTTGGAGTGCGGGTGAATTTCCCGCCAAAATATAAGATGGCTCTGTCTTTTGGTTTTGTTCCATCCATCAAAAGGGTGGATTACAAACAAATATTTGGTAATACGCAGTTACAATCGGCCCGAGTTTACACGTTTCCCGCACTCCACCGCAAATCTATATGAACCGAGTTAAAGACGGCTCCCCCGGAGTACGCGCAATTCACGCGAGCCGACTTAACTCGTTTCCCGCACTCCAAGTGTTTTAATTTTTATGGGGTATATCTTAGTTTGGGTAGAAAATGAGTCCTGTAATATAGTTTTAACAGTAAATTTACAAGAAAGGAACAAAGGAACCAGGAGGGACAGAAGAAAGGAGGAAGGAAAGAAGATATTCTTGCCAATTGTCAAGGTGTTGGCCACTGGCAAATTGCAAAAGTATTTTGACTAATATGCAGCAGAGATATAATTATTTTCCATCAGAAAACTCTTAACTAGCTCAATTGAAGGACAGTAGTTAAAGAAGCCTATTTGGAAAGGATCCAAAAAGATTGTTGTGTCTTTCTTAATTTGTTATAATGAATGAGTCATAATATTTTAAGAGGATTAAAGCTGCTTATAATGAGAGTGCTACATTTAAAGGACTAAGGAAGCTTTAGGAACAATATAATATGATTGTAATACAATATAATATGATGGGATAAGATAACGTGATTCTTCCATTTCTTGTTCTTACAAGCAAATTACAAAACAAAATACTAAGTGGCTTTTAATTTTGTTTCATTCTTTGTCAGAAGATGTGAAGATGAAATAGAACCTGCTTACACACACACACACACACACACACTGAGTTAACTCAATTTTATGCAATAAATTGTTATAATAAATCATTTTATATCCTTATTTCTCTAATGATTCTATTTAATTAATAATGAATATAAAAGCAGGACTTCAATTAGTACTCTAGCAAACATAGCCTACATCTTTTAAAATTGGTTTATCTTCATTAAGTACTTAACATCATCTAAGAAAAGGCAAATGGTATTTCTCTCAGTTCTTATGACATCATTGTATAACTTTCCAATTTGGAAAACACTCGGAAAAGTAGGAAGGGTCTTTAAGACATAAGTCCTGGTCTCTTTAGAAAATCTTTGTCACAGAAAAACAAATATAGGGGTTATTCTGGATTAAAAGAGAAAAGATACAAAAACGAAATGTAATATGTAACCACTGATTAGACACTAATTTTAAAAGCTATAAAAGATATTTTGAGAATAATTGTGGAAATTTGATATGAGTTGGATATAATTAAGAACATATTTTCCAGCCCTGGCCAGGTGGCTCTGTTGGTTGGAGTGCTGTCCCCTACACCAAAAGGTTGCAAGTTTGATTCCTGGTCAGGGCACATACCTACGTTGCAGGTTCAATCACAGTCAGGGAGCATACAGGAGGCAACTGATCGATAAGTTTCTCTCTCACATCAATGTTTGTTTCTCTCTCTCTAAGAAAAAATGTATTTTTCAGCTCTGGCGAGGTAGCTCAGTTAAGAGTCTGATCTCTGGTTGTACATACAAGAAGAAAGCAATGAGCGGGACAAGAAAATTGGTGTTTCTCCCTTCCTCTCTCTCTGTTTCTCCCTTTCTCTCTCTCTCTCTCTCTCTCTCTCTCTCTCTCTCTCTCTCTCCCCCTCTCTCTCCCTCTCTCAAAAATCAATAAACAAAAAAATTTTAAGTATTTTCTTAGGAGTGTTAATGATATTGTTTTGTAGAACATTCTTTTTTGGAAAGTGTATGCTGAAGTTTTTAGGGCTGGGTCTACAACTTGCTTTCAAAAGATTCAGAAAAAATATACATATCATAGTTGTCAAGCTGGGAATGTATAACCTGATTTTTATCATGAAATGTGGTGAATAGTAATATATTTCCTCCTTCAAGGAAAAACTTATTGCCTTAGGTGCTGGGAGAGCAGTCAAGAGCAGCCTCTAGCTAGCAGATCTCATGGGACTGCTGCTACTACATATAGTGCCCCACCTTTGTCCAAGGTCATGACCTTCAATGATTATTGAAATGGAAATACAAAGGCCCGGCCATTTTTGCCCAATGGGAGACAATTCTGATGGGTCAATTTTAGCTTTAGAATTGGCTATGGCTGTCAATCCTACCCTGCAGCTCAATTTCTCCCCCTGCCCAGTTGTCCCCCACCCACCCACCCACCCACCTTCCTTTCACACATAGATATAGACCCTAAGGGCACAATCTAATAAATATTTGATCATTAAACTCTGTCCCAGAGTCTTCTAGGATAACTCAACCTGTAACACGGATGGACATCAAATAACCTCCAAATGAAGAATTTGTTTTTTAAAGTTTTGTTTCCCTAAAAAATGCCAATGTCACAAAGAAAGGCTGGGGAAATGTTCCAGATTAAAATAAACTAAAGAGACATGACAACTAAATGCAACATATGATGCTGGACTGCATCCTGTACTGGAGACAAATTAAATGCCCAAAGAGCATTATTGGATCAGTTGACAAAATTGGAATATGGATTGTAGTTTAGATAAAAAATATTGAATCAATTTTAAATTTCCTGTAATTGATAAGTGTACAGTGGTTATGTAAAAGAATGTCCTTGTTTTAACAAATAGACACTGAAATATACAGGGGAAAGGAGCATGATATTTTCAACTTCCTCTGGAATTGTTCTGAGAAACTACATACAGAGAGAATGTAAAAAAGCAAATGGGGCAAAATTTTAACAATTGGTGAGTCTAAGTAGAGGGGATATGAGAGAATTCTTTGTATTTTACTTGCAACTTTTCTGTCATCTTGAAATTATTTTCAAATAAGAAATGTATATTTATATATTACATATAAAGAATTACAGATCAACCAGATATAGCAAAATGTTAACAACTGATCTAGATGATAGGGAAATGGTTGTTCTCTGCACTATTCTTTCAACTTCTATGAATGTTTGAATTTGTTCATAAGAAAAGTTGGAGGGGGGAGGGAGGGGGGAATAGGGGCCAGGATGTTTGTTACGCAAGACTATACCTTCTGGAGCACTATGTCTTTATTTCAAGTTGCTGCCCCATGTTTAATGGTTACTCTGTCTGTGATTAACTGAGAGAACATAGATTAGCATATCAATTAGACTCTTAAAGTTTTCCCCTCTATAAAGTAGCCCTCTTTTAAGTCATTAATTATTTACTTCCTCATTATAAGAAACCCAATTAGATGTACAGTGTAAACTCTTAAGTTCCAAAACTTTCTTTTTTATTTTCTGCTGTATCCTTATTTGCTAGAACAATTCCTAGACCATGGAATTTGCTCAATAAATATCTATTAAAACAACAAGTGAGAAAATAAAGAACACGTGAGAAAGAGTTAAAATAAATATGATTTGGGTATAAGTTAATAATTTTACCTACTAAACATCAACGCCTACCATAATGACCAAAATTAAATTTGATTTGACTTTTTGCTGGCTCTCTCTTTCTTACCGCAAATTGGGAGAATATGAATTCTAGAATTATTTTAGCAATCAAGTTGTTAATTTGGATGGACCTGAGCCAGGAAGTAGTTGGAGATAGCACTGCTGGGCTCCAGGAGGGAGCGGCAGAGAGCTTTTGAATGCTAGCCCTTCAGGGCACTTAGGTATAGAGTGACCTTGAGGAAAGACATGCAGCTGCAGCTGAGGGCCTGGGAGGGGAGGTCTCACCACACAGGACCAAGCTAACTTGAAACCAGGAGAACCCAGGCTCTACCACACTTGAAGAAAAGAGATCGTAAGGCTGTATGAAGCCATGTGTCAGAAAGCATCGCATATTTATTAGCCAAGTGTCAATACTCACTCAAGGGGCCTGGAAATGAGTCCAGCTGCAGGAGACGATGAGCCAGGAGTCAGAATGCAGAAATCAGAATTGGAGCAAGAACCGAGAGGAACCTAAATAGATGTGGAAATAGGGTGCATTAGTTTCGACCTAATGGATGTGTGTGTTAACCACAAAACAGCAGCCTTCCCAGGATCCTGACCTCCTGGCAAACACTGGGGGCTTGCTGATGGTGCTGGTGGCTGATAGGTCTCAGTCCTAATGGCAAGTGTCATCCTAAGACACACTCTGCTGTCATTTCAGGCCATCCTTTATATTCTACCTTTCCACTCATTACTTCCACTTCCAGCTCAGAATCAGAGGAAGCTGAACAAAGCATAACCAAGAGGACTTCAATTTTTTAAAATATATTTTTATTCATTTCAGAGAGGAAGAGGGAGAGATAGAAACATTAATGATGAGAGAGCTGCCTCCTGCATGCCTCCCCCCCCCAACACACACACACTGGGGGATCGAGCCTGCAACCTGAGCATGTGCCCTAGACAGGAATCAAACCCAGAACCTTCAGGCCAATGCTCTATCCACTGAGCCAAACCGGCCAGGGCATGAGACCTTCAATTTTTCATGTTTATCCTCTTGTCTGGCCCTCGCCTCATTTTTTTTTAAAAAAAAATATTTTTATTGATTTCAGACAGGAAGAGAGGGAAAGAGAGATAGAAACACCAATGAGAGAGAATCATTGATCAGCTGCCTCCTGCACGCCCCACACTGGGGATTGAGCCCACAACCTGGACATGTGCCCTTGACCGGAATCGAACCCTGGACCCTTCAGTCTGCCTGCTGAAGCTCTATCCACTGAGCCAAACCGGCTAGGGCTCACCTCATTTTCAAATCTAGAGAGCTGCTTGCTCCCTAGGCAACTGTTATTTAAAATAATTTGTTTAGATTTATAATTAGTTATTTTGCATGGAATAATAACTATTATCTCTTTAACTAACACACCCAGCAAACATCTGAAGTGTTTTTAAGGTGGCATCTTAAACTGCTTAAAAAGGACCACATTGCCAAACTTTTTGACACATTGTAGTGAAATATTAGAACTAAAATCAGTACCGTGGTCTTACCCTGTAAGACATGATTTATGACATGCAGGTGCTCTGAGAAATATGATTAATGGTTGGGTTTTATTTCAGATATTTTCCCCATTTATAGTGCGAGTACTATATAATGTTTCTCCATTTTCTTCTTAGAATTATTTCATTAATACTCAGCTGTTGGCCTGTACTAAGGTTTGGCCTCTAAGAGAACTTTATTACAGATGTCACCAGTGTGGCCAACAGCTAAGTTGAGGGGTGGGGAGTAGTATTATTCCAAAAGCAGACTAAGTTAGTACAGTAAAGCAGAAGCAGTTAAACATTAGCTTCCAGGGATTCATCTAAAGTATGCAATAAGAAATTCTGGAAAGGAGCTATTTTTACTTTCATTATGAAATTTGTGAGTTTTGGTTTAGTATTTTTTTATACTGAATTACATATGCAGAAGGATAACTGTTTTTCCAGTATATGTAGGGTCTGTCAGTAAATACTGTAAAGGACTTCACAATGTGCAAAAAGCTCCCTGGGCACCCTAGCTGGTGTGTCTTTTCAGGTTCTCTCTGCCTGTCATTGTCTCTGAGGTATTTTATAGTTGTATAAGTTGATATTTCTGCAAATGATCTTTGTCCACAGAAATACAAATGAATTGTATCTAGTAGAACGCAATTGATTATTGCCTTGTGAGTATTGGCCAGTTTTGCAACTGTTTATAAATTCACTTCAACATTCTTGATGGCCTATGTATGTGTGATACTTTGAATTCTCCTTTTAATCCATGTAATAGTTTTACTGATTCTCTCATTTACTAATGAGTTAATTAAAACCTTTGAAACATATTAATTTCATATTTGTATGAGTCATGATTTACCTGTTTAAAATTATCTTTTGTCACTGGGGAAAAAGCTGAGGACCCATAAGCAAGATTAATGTAGTTGTTTTGCATAGTTAGAATATTTAACACAGCACTCAAATATATTCAGCTTTCGTCCTCTCTCTCTCTCTCTCTCTCTCTCTCTCTTTCTCTCTCTCTCTTCAGTTAGACTGAGGCCACTTTAATCCCTGCTGCAGCTTCTCAAACAGAGGAAGGGAGCTAAACCAATGTTCCAGCCAGCCCCAAACAACAAAATAATTGGTTAGATGTGCTGCTTTGCCTGAGTGCAATCTGAGAACACAGAATGCCTCCTTGGCCTGAGGACACTATCTGCCTCAGCACCGTGGGATACAGAGAATTCACAGCAGCCCCAAAGAATGTGCAGTTATATCTAATCTGTGACCGTCCTTGCCTCATCTCTCCCTTGGGGTATCTAAATATTTCCAGGGTGTTTATGTAGATATGTAGACTTGAGGCTTATTTCTACATAGCCCTCTGCAGTCGGTCTTCTTTTTTCTTCTGTCGCCTGGTCTCTCCAGTTGTTCGACCTCCCTCTTTCCCACCAGTCCCTTCTCACCAAAGTGTTTGGATGTGAACGACCACAAGCATTTCTGGGCAGTATTTTACAGCAGTTAGGAACTAGGGCCTGGAGTCACACAGACCTTGCTTTCTAATTGCAGTGCCATTTTTTTCACCTGTGTGGCCTCGGGAAATGAGTTAAAAGCTCCAAGCGTCAATTTCTCCATCTGTAAAATAGGGATAATACTATCTACTTTATTGGGCAGCTGCAACGATGAAATGAGGCAATTAAGTGAAGCTCCCGGCTTGATGCAGTCATCTGTTACGACTGCAATTTCCATCTCTGTCTCCTATTTCCTTTTTTACTCCTATTTGTAGTGTTCTTCTACTTCCCATTTTCTTACTTGTAGGTTCACAGCTTTCCCCTCCATCCGACATAGATACTACCAGGTTTCAGGTGCCCAAAATAAGGCACCTTGGCCTGTTAAGTATTTCATGCTGAAGGAATCTGAGAAAACAGTGGGTCAAGAGAGGCCTTTTGGATTTCCCCTGAAGCAGGTCATAAAACCCGCATGTGAGAGCTGCCTCTCCCATAGCCAGAGGAAAGGAGTGTCCTCATCTCAGAAGCCCAGGGACCAGGAATCTGAAAAAACAGGCCTTGCTACATTTCCCCCCCGCATACTACCCTCAGCTCATAACCCTTTGGTCCCAAAACATTTTTCCATGACTCTCAACTTTTCATCAAACACTCATGAAAACACTCACCTTTAACCGTTTCTTCGGGCCTTCATTATAAAGCCTTCTTTTGGAAGGCTCTCAGGTCATTTACCGCTAATATTAATTGTGTATGCTTTTCTGTCTTTTATGTAAAAATTAATATAAACTTTACATAGAATTATATTTGTATTCTGTAATTTGGATGCATTTAATGGTTTATAGTTAATATAAATAAATAAACATTAAATCTGTTAATCTGCCTTTTGTTACAGGAGCTCTGGCTGAGAATTCAGAAGGAGAGGAGGAAAAGCAAAGGCAGTGGTCACATGTACTGCATCATTTTTTAAAAATATATTTTATTGATTTTTTAGAGGAAGGGAAAGGGATAGAGAGTTAGAAACATCGATGAGAGAGAAACATTGATCAGCTGCCTCCTGCACACCCCCTACTGGGGATGTGACCGCAACTAAGGCAAATGCCCTTGACGGGAATCCAACCCGGGACCCTTCAGTCCGCAGGCCGACGCTCTATCCACTGAGCCAAACTGGTTAGGGCCTTTTTAAAATTATTATTACAATCGATTTAGTTTTTTCATCAATGATCTGGGGAGAAAATCCATCAGCAAACCATTGACAGTGCCCGGCTCAGACTAAGGCCTGAAGAAGTGTGAGATGCTGTTACTGTTACCTCACTTTATCAGTCTTTTTGTTAGGGTGGATTGTGAAATAACTCACATAACTAACATATGACTTTGTTGAAAGGTAGCAAATTCTTGGGTTTCTAGCTAATTTAATGACCAATGGCTCTAGTCAGAGAGTTCGTTTGATGATATTATTTGTGATTACTTCAGATAACATTTTGGATTTATGTTTCATCCTAAGAGAAAACATCAGCTGAAAAGACACCACGGTGAGCAGCAAACTAGTGGTTTCCTGCTGTTACGGTAAAGCTGAACTGTGCTCATTGCTTCCTGTCCAAACGTAGGACATTCTGATCCTGTGATAATGTTCTACTAAAGGAGTTTATTTGTTTTTGCATCAAATGATTTGTGTCGATGAGTTCATTTCTTGTGAGGAAGATCAGTACAACATGGCTGGGCTCCTTGCTGTCATCTCCCTGCCGGCTAACCCAGCTAGCCAGAGAACACATCAATTGTCTGCCTTAGCAAGAAAAACATCAGCTCTTCCAAAAAATTTTTCCGTTGGGGCATTCTCTTAAATTTGATAAATAAATTATTTACCGATGGCTTGAGAAAAACATAAAAAGAGGAAAATGGTCATTTTTAAAGAAATCACTGAAAGGCAGCCAGAGGTTTCAAGCAGGTTCCATTTGCCATGGCTAGAAAAGAGAGCTGATTTGTTTTCAACCGAACTTCTGTTTATTTAAGGTTGAAACAAATGACTGAATGTTTCTGTAAATAGCCCAATGTAAAATTAAAATGGAGAAATACTCTCTACAATCGCTTTTCCCCCTTTCTGTATTCTGGGAGATGTAATCCATTTCTGAGAAAATCCGAAAATACCACTTTCATAGAGTGGTGCATTATAACCTCTCAGACAAGCAATTTCATGTGTGTGCTGACATTCCCCTTCCCCATGCAGTCTCTCAGAACAAAAGGCAAACAATAGAGAAATGCCATATTTATACATGAAATACCGTTCCAGAGCTAGGCATCCCTCCCTGGCAAGGTAGGAAGAGCTTAGCCATTTTACCACATTTCCCCCATCTTCTTGGTCAGAGCATGTAAGCAACTGTAATTAAGTATATGTTTTGTGTGTTGATTATGTAAAATCATTCCAGAGGCGACTGGTTTTATTTTGAATAGAGTTAATGAAATGAAAGCTCGTAGGAGGGAGAATGACAATCAAGCAGAAGAGTCTTGTTTAATATTATCTTTGCACCTGGGCAACAT